AAACATTGGCCAGTTATTTCGTCTTACAATGTCAGTACTAAAAATACGTAAGCAGGCTAGTAAATATATGGCCGGTAAAAATGATGAATGGGCAGTTTGATAAATAGTTCGGCAGGTTTAGGTTAGATTAGGTTTAGGATGACCCACTCGTAACTGCCCATTTGCCCATGCCCAGCTATTTCACTGCTCAGTATTTATAAAGTATAATATGATCCATTTTATAATTTTTCACGACTTATTTTTGTTTACTTTACTGCTAAGTTTTAACTGCCGAACTTGTTACTAAATATGCATTTTGTAATTTTCTAAAAATATTTGCAAATTCTCAATTGCAAAATGACATGTAAATTTTCAATAACAAACTACTTTTTGGTTGATATAGTTTTATTTTCTTATTACAGTCAAAACCGTTTATAACGACATCGTTTACAACGACCTATCGGTTATTACAACCAGATTGTATGGTCCCGTCCGAATCCCTAGTAAACTATTCAGTAAAGAAACCGCTTATAACAACATCGGATACAGCGACATATCGCTTACAACGACGAAAGTTTATCGATATTCATCGGCTATAACGACCAACCGCTTCTTGTCTCAGCAAAACAAAACAATACAAACGATTTTAAATTTTATTTATAAGCATTGAATGAATATTTAGGCATATTATTACCTTCGCACTTTCTCCCAACGAACAGTTTCAGCCAACAACGATTTCCGAGGCTCTTAACGCTGTAACGATTTAGTAAAAATTTGTTGCCTTTAACGAACAGTTTGATACTGGTGATACTCATACCTTGAGGAGTATGAAACGTAAAATGCAAAAAATATTTGAGACTGGGCTAAAAAAAAAAAGTGACTGTTTACTTTTGTACCTAATTATTTCGTAATAAATATTTTTGTTTCTTTTTTGACTCGTTTACATATTATAATATTAACATACCATATTATAACCCATACCTACCTATTCTAGATCGATAACTATGTACATACATATGTACTGTACTTGAGTATATGACATTGCTTATAACGACTATCGGATATAACGTCGGCAACTATACGGTCCCTTCAATGTCGTTATAACCGGTTTTGACTGTATCATTTTATTTCGTTCACTGACTGGTAAGTATATTAAATAGAAATAATATGTTGTTTACGTATAAAATACTTAGAGTCGTTTTTTTTCTCTATAACGGTGTTATTTTCGTCGAAACTCGAAACTATACTTTATGTACCTAGGTACTAGCCTTGATTTATCTGCAACAAATTGTTATGCGTTTCGTTAAAAGTTAAAACAATATTTTCGTCTTTCGTTCTTCGCAGTTAAGAGTAGGTAGGTACTTACAAAATTGTAATTTGTAAGAGACACATAATACATTTAATAATATTAATAATCAGAATAATCATAATATTAAACCGAAAGTATAACAAAATTCTTATGTTTTAAAACTCTTTGAATACATAGGTACTTTTAGTTTTTACATATTGTCACTGCTACCACATAATTCCATGGTGATAAAATTCACAATATACACACACAATAGTTTACAGTAGCTAAAAGAGAATATACCAACTTTGAAAACATCTAAACTGTTCACTACAGAACCGATATAATAAGGGTTCCAATAACCTTCATTAAGAACCCGAACCGAATCAGAACCGGAACAGGAACCATACCGAAAAGTGGTACCTTTTATGGAATCTAAATTGAGAATCAGAACTTAAATTTGTACCGGTATTCAATCCCAATTTGGGAGTTACTTATGTTGACAGGGTAAACTGTCATAGATTAACTTGACAAAGGCTGAGAAATATCGAAGCGCACCTTTTACCTCATCTTGAGGGTTTATCTGGACGTGAAGGACGGGAACGTGGTACCGTGGTAATTTATGGCAATTACTTTTACTAGTATTGGTCTGCCACGTGAGCTGCGATCTGATTTGAAGGTTTTGTCGGATGCAGGACCGATTGGGTGGTTCCATTAGTACTTTGAGGCATTTATACTTGCGCTGATATTTCTATTGTGGATTCTCAAATCTTCACAAGTGAAGTTGCAAATTTTATTTGACTTAGTATTAACTCGCGGCACAGCCCCCTATTACCGCATAATTTTTCGGATTGCGAAAACACATTCATCGGAAAGAAAGGCTTTTAAATTTTCATTTAATGGGAGATTTCAAAATATTCTTAGGGAATATTGTCATAATTTTGACATGGCTAAGTGTTAACTTGCAGCGCTGCCAGGGGAGCTGCTAAGCTATTACCTCGATATATGGATTTTGCCGGACGGAATCTTTCAATCGGTATTCTAATACAATTGAAAAAGTGTTGCCATCATAGACCATTTTAGGCTAATCACTAATGTGCGGACGAGGTTTGCTTTGCAGGCGTCCTCAGTTGGACGTAGATATATAGGTCTATAGTGCCACTGGATTACCATTAAGATTATACTTCTATTATATAATTAAAATAATTCAATGAGCGTATAAGATTGTTTATACACACTGTTTCGCAAAACAACTCCGCTACCCTCAACTAGCTCGAACTATGCCTCCCGTATGTCAAAGTCCAATACGATTTTGATATATGGGCGACACAGCGTTAGGTCTTGTTTCTGAATGTTAAAAATCCCTTCGTGTCTAAATATTTATCCCGGTAGTAAGACTTAAGAGAGAGCACCAGAACAAATCAGTTTAGCAACAGCTTTATTCTGTTGTGGACGTGTTTCGTTTTAACGCATGGCTACCCCACCCCCATGCGGGGAATTTTTTTATTTTGCTAGTAAAAAAAATTACGCGGCACCCAACAACACTACTTCCACTGACATATTAACAAGTTTCTATGAATACATCCTAAACTTAAAACTCTCTTAATACTTTCTATTACGAAAGTTTTCATTTATTACTTCAGATCTATGACGAATCCTAAGGTCGCAAGTTCCAATTTTTAAACAAGCAAAATTTCATTTGTGGCTCGTTAATATGTATCAGTTGGAGAATGTTTATCATTATTTATTTATACATAATTTACGTTAATTAAAAAGCCATATGTATTAAAACTGTTTATTAAACAAAAAATGGCGTATCTTAAATGTAACAGCTAAATCTTAAATGCTTTCAAATGTCAAAATTAACTAAACTGTACGGCTAAAATTTACATTTAATTTAATTGACAATTCTCATATCTGTCAAAATGTATCAAACTAAAATAATATTTTGACAGATGGAAGAATTTGTGCGCACTTAAGCTTATGCAATGATGTCTATGATTATGTAGAGACTAGAGACAAGTTTATTTGCGAAGTGCCTCCCAAATCAAGTTGAGTCTGTAAAAATCCAATGACGAATTAACAAAATATGTCTCTGTTCACAATTCGATTCAGAAATGAGAGTCAACTCTCGTATGTCAAAATTCAATACATTTTAGACGAGTGGAAGTAATAATTAGCGCTAAGTCTTGCTTCTGAATCGAACTGTGCAACAAATCTGCAAAAGTTGAAGAGTCCTTGGATATTAATTCCCATTTGTATAAACTGATTCTCTAAATGAAGTTGACAAAAACTTAGCTCACTAGTTACATACTAATTTGGCTTAAAAGCTTTGCAAACTAAAAGGAATAAAAAAATATATTTAGAATTAAGTACTCTAGAATAATAAAATAAAAAGCCCCGACAAAAATTTGTAATTGCCATTCTATATTGAACATTTTGGCGCGAATTTCGAATCTAGCGACAAAAATTTGACACATGTTACAAACTTCAAACAAAGCGACAGTTCCTCATGCTACATTGTTTGAATTTTGTTATATATTATGTATAGAACACAAACTGTAGCTAATACTAATATTATGCATACAACATAGAATATAACAGTAGTACCATAATTATTTCTCTTTTTGTACAGTTTACATCATATAACCGTAAATTTTATATTAATGCGATTATGGTGTTACAAATCCAATACAAATTACTATTATTAATAATATTTTCGACATTATAATAATTTTTTTGTGCATAATTTAAAATTATGCACACAACTTATAGAAAACTAAGCGAGAAAAATATTATACAATAAAAAATATAATAAGTCAACCATCATCCTAACCATAAACAGCCAGTCTTCCATTTTAAACACCACCTTCGACCAATCCAACAAAAAATGAGGGTTTTCAGCCTCCATAAAACATTAAACAGTGCATTGCAGTATCATCTTAACACTTGCAAATGGTTAACATTAGAACATCAAACTACTATTTGACCAATATTTGTCTGTGCAATATGCCCATGGGCATATTTATAGAATATTAAATCAATCAGGGCTATGCAGTGTATATAGTAAAAGTTTCAACAATCTTTTTTATCCATATATATTGTGTATTGTATGTTTACAATACACAACATTTTTTCCCAAATATTCAGCCCATATAAGTTATAAGAAAAAATAATTACAGAAAGTGGTACTCTGAATTAACCATAAATACATAATATATTGTGAAAATGTTCCGTAACCACTAAACCATAACAATAAGGATGTTATAACAAAATTAAATGAACTTCATTTAATATTATCGTGACAGAATTGAACAGATTATTATTCTGGTTTTACTGTGATAGAGATTTAGCTCTGAGACTCATAAGATGGCCGAATCATACATAATAAAGATTCTCCTGGTGATCCCTTCTGAAACAGATTAAGAAGTTTTGGCATTTTCAGTCTTTTAATCTCTCAATAGATTATGTACCCTTATCGCGAACATTAAACGTCAAATATCGTATATGACACTACAATACTTCAGCGTTTGACAATTCAATGTCAAGTGTCAATCGCATTGTTGAACTATAAAGTTAACACACAAGGTATACATTGGAAAGTTCTGTAATCTTTTTGAAAAAAAAAAAGGAAATGTCTGATTGCCATAATTAGTAATTTTATTAGCGAAACTTAGTCATAAGAATGTTTTCGTCAAATTAAAATCAATACTAATACAGCACTTACCACTCTTTAGAGGTTCCCAATCTCCGTCTCAAACAGGCGTTTCCCACCCTTCAATTGTTTCTCAGATTCATTATTGAATTTTTTCATATATTCTTCTAATCTTATCAACCATTGTGCCCAGTGTTCTCTTAATTTATCTGTGTGTAAATGATAAAAATCTGCTTTAGAACCATCGGTGTAGGCTATGACCAACAAAGCATCTCGTACATTCAAATGTTTGTAGTTAAGGTCATTGCACACAGCTCCAAAGTAAGCCGCTAGTTGGACAGGATTGTCATAAGTTAGGGCTATGGATTTCCGAGGCTTGTCCGATTTCTTCCATTCAATTAGTGTTGGTTTATCTCTGGAAAAAAAATTAAAATGCAATATAGAATTATTTTAGTAAAGTCTGTAAGTCTGTGCCTAATGGTGTAAAAAAAAAATTAATTTCATATTCCCCGCTTACTTTCGCAGCTTAATTATATTTTCAACTTTTCGCTGGAGAGACCTATTTGTGAACTGTATGGAGATTTTATACTATTATTTAAAAATATAGGTACTTAGAAAAGATTTATGGTAAGCAAAAAGTTATCTGTTAATTGTATAATACTTTTATATTTTTTATTGATATTGGTCACTCAGTGAAGTGATGAAGAACAAAGATATGCCTAGGAAAGAAAAGAGGAAGGTATTTAATATGTGCATTCTACCATGTTTACTATACGGGTGTCAAACTTGGGCATTGACAGAACATCTAGAAAATAAAATTAAAGTTTGTCAAAACAGCATAGAAAGAAGTACAATAGGTGTCAAAAGAAAAGACCGAGAAAAATTAATAGACATCAAAAGTAAAACCAAGTTTAAGAATGCATACACAACATACAAACAGCTGAAGTGGAGGTGGACAGGGCATATGATGAGAGAAAAGCAAGAAAAATGGACAAAACTTATCACAGAATGGTACCCTTTAGACGGAAAGAGACATAGAGGAAGACAGGCTAAGAGATGGGAGGATGACGTTAAGAAAATAGCGGGTTCAACATGGACTCGCACCGCAAAAATGAGAAAAGACTGGAGAGCTTTAGAGGAGGCCTTTGTCGGAAGACAAGTTGTATCCGAACTACCGTTTGCCGATAGTCAATAAATATTAAAATTGTTAGTATATTAGTTAAACTCTAGTTAATAGTCAAAATGTGTTTTTTAGATAGTAGTCATAAGTAATTTTAGGCACACGAAACTACTCTGTGTAAAACTTGTTAACAACAATAAAGGCTTTTTATTTTTTTATTTTATTTTATTTTATATTTTTAGTTGAAATTTGGCCAAGTATAAGCTGTAAATTAATAAATAAAGTTTACATATTATAATCATTAAAATGGGCTAATTAATTTGTTAATATTGTGTCAAGTAATTTAGTTTATAAGCTTTAATTGTTGTTTCTATTTACTTCTACTTCCAATTACTTTTAATTAAATTGTGTCTTCAGTTAAAACTTAATATAAACTTTTCGGGTTTTAGTGTTGTCTGGCATTATCAATATTTATAGCAGTTCAGTCTAAATTGAAAGGGTTAAATTATTTTTGAAAATATGTTATATTAATAACTCACTCATAATCAGCAATGGCATCAAACACCCCTCTATATTTCAGTACAGGATGTACAACATTGGATTCTATTGCCTTAGGTGAAGATATATGTTTCAATACCTCGGCTACAGACACCCAAACCCCTTCTACATCTTTTTCAATTCGTAATTGTGTTTGCGGCTGAGTAAAATAGTTCTTTAGTGTACTGTGGAACTTTGTACCAACTGCCATTTGTGCTGGAACATAGAAAATCATAATTATAGACATGAACCTATTTTTATTTTAAATGTGTAGTGTACTTTATAAAGATAAATTTTAATTTCATTCCACTTAATATAATGTTCTCCTATGAAAGGAATTCTTATGAATATTTTGACATGACAAATTAGGATTCAGAGTGAAGAAACTCATTTTAGCTGTAATACAACAATTCCATCATGTTTTTAGGCCTGATATTCCTAATTGATATTGTAAACCTTAATACCTTTCCTAATGAAAGTCAAGTTGCCCATTTACACTACTAAACCCCACTACTACAAAACTATGTGTGTGTTTAGTGTTCACACAACAATGTTTAGTAAACAGCATAAAATTGGAATTTAAATTGGCATCAGTCTGAAACTTGAATACATAATACTATATTGTGTTTGTTTACCAGGTCACCTTGCAACAAGCCATTTATATTTTTGAGTTCAATGTTCTTCCACATTTCAAGGATCACTTTCTTCAATGTAAAAAACATATAAATATATTTAAGAATGTAAGATTTTAAACAACAACCCTAGCAATAGTTTATCTTTGTGCATATTAGAACACATATATGTATATTATTATGATACAAATTAGCCACATATAGGTCATATTCTCTAGGACTAAGACTGAGATCTGTAAGTCAAATCCAATGTTTTTAACATACAGGTCTCTGACTCTTATATATCTTATAAATTCCCACAAAAGCAGGCAGAACAGGTACAGATGATAGGACAAACTGCCACTTTAGCTGGACAAAAATCTGTTCAATAAATCCAGATAGCTTGAGTAAATCAGTTTCAGAATGCTGACTACTCAGCATTCTGAAACGGAACTATGTCATGCAATTGATGTGACATAATGGACTGTAAAACTTAATTTACTATTTTAAAGGTGTAAAAACAATAAATTAATTTATCTCATGATGACAGGAAAATGGCTGATTATTCAATCGGGTTATTACCGTCATAGAGATTGACTAAGTGAGCAATGACAGTACTATCGCATTATCAATATAAAACGCAGGTATTAACATTATACCAATAAGTATTTACTAAACAACAGATAAAAAGTCCATGAACTTTGTGATTATAATACATGTACGTGGATTATCTCTTCGTTCATGTAGCAATGACCTAGCCTTATATTGCTTCTAAATAATTATAGAATGTTATCACATCCAATAATTTACTTCATTTTGAAGTTTCAACATAGTTATATTTTTCTTTACATTTTATTTAAATGTTTGAGGTATACAAATTTAATTGTAACAGACCTGTTTCAGGTTCCTTAAGATTTGACTATAAAACTCTTAAACAATAAGCATTGTACATACTAAACTCACCTTCATTATACCTATTAAACTCCTCTAGACCCATTTCTTCAATCCTTTCCTTCTTCCATTTTTCTAATGCTTTTCTTGACTCCTCTGTCATTGTCTTGTTAAGAATTAAAGTAACAGATGGGAATTGTTTAGTATAATCATTTTGATGTTGCCTAATTTGAAGAATTTTGTCCTCACTAGCAAATCCTGGCTCAGCAGGAAAACTCTTAGTTGCATTTGCAACAGATGAAGTTTTTATGCTTCTCACAGCAATGTTATACACTACACCAGTAGCATTCAATAAATTTCTTGTATTCTGGTACATCTTGTTTTTATTTATAATTGGAAACACAGATGAATTGTAGACTGGTGCAATTAATGAACTCACACTGCTAAAAAGACTTCTTGCTGCTGAGTGGCAAAACTTTTCTACACTGTCACTCTGAACTTTTGCTCTGTTTTGATGTGTGCTATTTTTAGCTGCAAGAGATAATTTTAAATAGTAGATGCGTATATCGCACGGCGCTAATGTCATATGATTATATATATTGGCAAAAACACCAGGCACGAGTGTGTACTGTAAATAACGCGTAGTTATCAGATAAAAGCGAGTCTTTTTTAATTGTGAGAATCATGTATGTGTATTTCTTTTAACATTAAATACGTAGTACAATTTAGAACGTCACGCGTGAATCCCAACATCGTACTAAAATAATTACATTGAATAATAAGTTCATTGTATGATTGAAAAGATTTTGTATTAAAAGAAAACCAATAGAACTTTTTACTTTTTAGCCTTGAAATTTGTTAAAAGTGAAAGCTACTAACCTTCTTTTTTCAATCTACTTTTCTTCTGCTTATTCGTTTCCAACAAGGGACCAAATAGTTCTTTATTTTCCTTGTTATATAGTTTTAATTTATCAGCAGGATTTAAAAGTGAAGCCGGGCTAACAATTTTTTGTCTTATAAATTCCTTTTGTATAGAAGTATTGTAACCAATTCTAGAAATTCGCCTAAGCATGGTGTTATCTAATTATGTTAGTACTTAGTAGATCATTTATATATCATACGTTTAATAAATATTGTATAATATACATTACACAAATCTCCTTTTTTTTGTACGGAATGGAAAAGTAAAACTAATTTAAAAATTGCTTAAATTTTTGCAAGCAAAATACAGATAGATATTAGCAGTCATACATTTTACAGATACAATATTGTTACAAATTAGAATGCGGTCTGACGTATGCGGTACACAGGCCTAAAACCGGAACTGGAATAGGTACGCCCTATAATACAGCAAACGAAGCAATAATATGTTAAACTAATATATATTATATAGTCACTAGGTCACACAACAATTGTTTGCAATGTTTTCTTTTAGCACTTAATACTTATTTTCTTCTATTGTATCTTATGACAATGACCTGATTGTACGTGTTCCGGTCCGGTGGTGGAGAGGCTGGCTATCTGTCACTCAGGTCTCCTGTTACAGAGACCAGTCTCTCACATACACTTCCTAATGTTATCATCTTAGTTTAATCATAATAACCTTGTATATGTCAACGTAAAATTGTAAAAACCGTTAGATTGTAATCTATCTCGCGAGATTGTAAACTGTCGAAAAATTGTGAACTCAACGTACTGCTTACAATTTAACGTATTATTATTCGGTAGATTATAATCTATCGAAGTGAAATCGTCAAATTGTAAAACGGTACGCACCTCGCGCGCTGATTGGTTGAACGGAATATGCCATGGTGGCGACCATATTTGTTTGTTAATTCGTTTGTTGTCGAATGTAAACAAACGGTGTTTTGGTAAATGTAAATTGATGTCGTCTTGAAAGTAACTCACAGCTTTAGGATGTTGAAAGTGAACGTGAAAAGTTATATGAAATTGTTGTGGAAGTAAAATTAATCTGTGATTGACCAAAGAAGTGCAGTTTGAATGATAATTAAGTTAGTGTTGGTCTCCAAACATAGTCTAAATTACATACATTTTCCGTGTTTTAATATTTTTTATCCGCGTGAACCTTTGTGATCTCGTATTTACAATGTCGGATATTGAGCCTGTCGATCAACAAAACTCAGAAATATTAGGTATTGTTAATAAGGAAGAATTTACCATAGAGTTACAAAACTATTACAGCGGGCATAATGAAAATAGTAAAAAATGTAATTGCAAAATAATAAAAAGAAAGCTAATGTTCTTTGTAACTCCAGGTGCCACAACTCGTTGACGTGCAACAATAATTGAACATTTTTATTGGTGCAATTTACTTTCTTATTTTTTATATAATAGACAATTTTGTTATGTTTTCAAAAACGTTCATATGTTTTCGATTTGTTTTTTTTTTAATTTTGATTTTATTTTGTGATCGTTTTTTCTAAAAGAAAATTTCATTAATTTTTCAATTTTAATTTGTGTTTGAAGAGAAAATATTGTTACGTTTCTGATTTTTTTATTTTGATATATTTTTTTTTTCATCATGTGATGTCAGAATTATTGATTACCTACTAAGTAATAAATACAATTTTTGAAGTGCATTCATTTTATTTGACCCTTGTTTCATTCCTAACTCTATGGACATATAACGGTCTACTATACAGCCGACCAATCAGCGCGCGAGGTGCGTACCGTTTCACAATTTGACGATTTCACTTCGATAGATTATAATCTACCGAATAATAATACGTTAAATTGTAAGCAGTACGTTGAGTTCACAATCTTTCGACAATTTATAATCTCGCGAGATAGATTACAATCTAACGGTATTTACAATTTTACGTTAACATATATATATGTGAGAGAAGAAATAAAGATTATTATTATTATTAAAAAAAAGTTTTTGAAGTTATACTTCTTTAGGCGCGTTATGAAAAATTTATGAGAGTGAAATTTTACCAGGCGCGCGCACCGTGACACAAAATTATCAGTATGGGCGCCGAGCGTGCGCGGGCGAGATGGGAATAAGACAATCAATCAATCAACAAGTAAAAGAAATAGAATATGCGTGACGTTAGCAGCTATGCCAAGAATTTTGAATGACCATAATTACATTTGTAGTACCTTTTAAACAAATAAAGGAGTTTTAATTATTTTTTCAAAGAAATTTAGCAATGCTTTTTCACAAAGACCTATTGTTACTTAGTTAAAAGGTTATGAAACATACCTATAGTCGAATTTTTAATTAGACGAAGCTATCTGACAGTAGCTAATGTCACTTAGTAAAATAATGTTGCCACATTTAAAGTAATAGTGATACATTCAGTTCTTGTTCAATCAGATGAATGAACAATGAGTGAGTGTGAATAGTTAATCATTTCAAACTATAAAATAATATTATTACTATTTTAAAATTGTATAAAAGATTTCTGATATAAGTTAGGTACTAGTAGTATGTAACTACAATCAGTTTTTTGACGGCTGTAATACAGAGCGCGGCGAGGCGACTAGTGCCAACACCGATCGACGCCGCGCGCGTCGGTCGCCATTTTGTTTGTCATTCGGCTTCTAACCTCTGGTCTGATAGCACGAATGTTTTTTCTGCGCTCACGCTGTTTAGTTATAGTTTTTGTTAAGTTTTTCATTACGTTGTGTTTGTGGTTATTGTTGTTTTTTTATTTCTATATTGTTTCGTAAAAACGATATGGATCCTCAACCAAGCACGTCAAGCCAAAGCTTGTCTCCAAGAAAGAAGAGACCACGGATTGCTTTAAGCGTTACCGAAAAAGTTATGATACAAAACGTCTACAAACACGTATTTGAGGAGAAAGCTGCTTTACTATTACCTATTGAGGCTCCCGAAAAAAAAGAATGTGTTTCGAAAACAGCTGACATTTTGGGAATTAGCGTGACCTCAGTTTACAGTGTATTAAAAGAATACAAAGAAAATGAACAATTTAAGTCTCCCGAGAAACGTGGACCGAAACACAATTTCAAAGATAAATTAGACGATTTTACTTTGGCCGCTATAAGGCGAAAAGTTCATAATTTTTTTTATGCAAATGAGTCACCCACCATTATAAAGGTAACAAACTTTATTCCATCGACTGCATTATATTCTGTGTCCACAATAATGATCTTTGTAAAACCAAAGTATTAGATTGCGTAGACTTCCTTACTCAAAAACGTTTTTTTATTACTTCACAGATTCTTAAGGTTGTCAATGAAGACCCAGACTTACCCAATTTTTCTTGGAGTACATTAAGAAATGTTATGAAACATTTAAATTTCAAATATGTCACAAAATCAAGAAAAAGCATGTTAATTGACAGACAGGACATTATGTTATGGCGCCAGCGATACCTTCGCAAAATTAAAGAGTATCGAAGGGAAGGAAGGTATATTTATTACCAAGATGAAACCTGGATCAACGAAGGTAATTACAATTTTCTGTTTTCTTTACATTAAATTGTACTTTCATTAACTAATTGTTATTTTTCATTATCTTGTAGGTCATGCACCGAAGAAGGCATGGATTGACCAGACAGTGTTATCGACTCGCCAGGCCTTCCTAGATGGCCTGACTACTGGCTTAAAACAGCCTTCAGGAAAGGGCAAACGATTAATTATCGGCCACATAGGTGGGGAAGAAGGATTCGTAGAAGACAGCTTACTAATATTTGAAGCCAAAAAAAGTAAAGAAGACTATCATCAAGAAATGAATGCCGATTCCTTTGAGAAGTGGTTTAGTGGAGTCTTGCCAAAACTAAAACCAAATTCCGTTGTAGTGCTAGATAATGCCCCCTACCACTCCAGGAAACTAGAATCGCTGCCTAAAATGTCTTGGACTAAACCTAAAATACAAGAGTGGCTAACGAGCAAAAATATTTCATTCGAAGCAACAATGGTTAAAGCTACTCTTATAGACATTGTACGGCAGCACAAACAAGATCATTTCGAAAAGTATGTTGTGGACGAGATAGCAGCGCAGCATGAGATAATTGTTTTACGTCTGCCCCCATACCACTGTGAGCTTAATCCCATTGAGTTGGTATGGGCGCAGGCTAAAGGATATGTTGCAAAAAATAATAAAACCTTCAAAATGACAGAAGTAAAAAAACTTTTTGAAGAAGGACTTAAACTAATCACACCTGATAAATGGCGTAGCTGCGTGTCTCACATAATGAAAGAAGAAGATAAAATGTATGGTCTCGACGACATGATCGACAATGTTTCAGACAGATTTATTATTAATGTCACCGAAAGCGATAGTGATGATTTTTTATCTGATGATGAATAAAAACAAATTATGTAATAAGCGATGTTTATTATTTTCATTACCAACCTATAATTGTTATATTATTAAACATCTATAGTATAAACTACATGATATATTGAGAATAGGACAGTCTTACAAGTTTCCTCGCAATGATTTCCTTAATGTTAAAAACAATTGGTATTTAGTACTAAACTCGTTGGTATGTTCAAAGCACGACTAAAATTCGAACCCGTATCCGATATCGGCAGTACGCAACGTTAACTATTCACTAGGCAATCGAGGCAATTTTATTAATTCAGGAGTTTTTTCAATCATTCACAAATCATGTGACAAACACAACACTATTTTTATTTCATTAAAAACTGACAACACCGTAAACGTCAGTTGATATCGTCTAATTAAAAATTCGACTATAGTTACTAAATTGAATTAATAATTAATAAAATAATCATTATTATTAATATTAATAAATAATTGAATAATATACTAAATATGATATATTAGATATTGTTACATTATTAACGCTAAATATTTATTATTAATTATTTAATATTTAAAAAAAATAAAGAAAGCCAAAGAAGTTTAGGGATGTTGCTTGAGGGTTGATTGCTTCAGAATTATTTGGTCGATGTTAAAATAAAACTCCCTAATTACTTGTTGAGAAGAGGTGAAGATGGAATAATGAATGAATGATATTTATTTACAAAACTGTGTACAATTATACTTAAAAATTATCCTACACTTACAACTAATATTGACATGTGGTACCAAGATGCGGAGCGTTGGTTGGTTGC